CCGCCATAGGTTCTTCAGTTGTCTTCTCCACTGTTTCAGCATTGGCCTCATTCTCAGTGTGGGCTTCGTCATTGCCCAAATCTTTTTCCTGAGGCCTGCTAAGGTCAGCAGATTCTAGAGTTTCTGAAGTCCTTGGTGGAGAACTTTCAGTAGTGTCCTGAAGAAGAGAAAGAAGACAAATCTTCAGATGTCGAAAGAGACATAATCGAATACTGGTATCTATGCCTAAGTTATAAGAAGGGTCCAATAGATTACCTGTGGATTAACTTCAGCCCCAGGGCTGGAATTGTCACTTTCGACAGGCTTGGTAACAAGAGCGTTCAGTTCCTCCTCAGTTGGTTCCTCGATGACCACTGCAGGTGGCCTAGGCTTTCTCACAGCAACCTTTATTCTGACGGTTCGACCGTCAGGAGCAGGAGTAGGAACAGAAGCGTCCTTCGTTAACTTTCGCCTCTTTAAGGGAGAAGGAGGGGAATCACTGTCGTCATCACTCCCCGATTCGACCACCAATGCTGCCCTTTTCTTGGGCGAAGGAGCCTAGAAAACCAATAGGAATTCGATTGAATAATTACGTCGAAAATAAAAAATCGAAAGCCAGAAGAAAAATGAAGAAAATCTGGTTACCGATGCAGGAGGCCTCCTCGAAGAGCCTTCCCCCTGTTGGTTGCCCGTTGTCTTCGCCGGCGCTATAGTCTTCGCCGGCGGTGGAGGTTTTGTCGAAAGGACTCTTCCTTGTGGGCCTTCTGTAGCCTTCTTGGCTAGGGGCTTTCGAACAACTGAAAGCGAAAAGGAAAGTTAATAGGCTAACAGTCGAAGAGAAAGATAAAAAGTAAATGTGAGAGCATGAACTTACATTTCTTTACTTTGTCCAACACAAGGACAAAAGACTTCTGCAACTCTGCTATGAAGTCCTTCTCGTCGAAGAAGTACTCAGCATAATAGCTTCTCCACCACTCTTCAAAAGATGGTGAGCAAAGGAAGTTAAGCTGGTAGTTAAACAGCGAGAGGATTGTTCGACCAGCATATCTTCCGATATGCTTGGTAGCAGCTTCTTCTGTATAATCGTTGCAGAAGTACAACATTGACTTCTCTCTTTGAAAAATGGGAGAAGGCAGGGTTTGGATGATACCAAACTGGCGAGATACCAGATTTGGTTGATAGGCAAGCAGACTCAAATGAGTCTTAGAACTCTTAAATCGAAGAGGCATGATCCTGGGTGTCAGAAACGCCTCCCAAAGTACAGTGTGCTCATCGACATTGGGACCACTCGACTCCTTTGGGTGTGGCCTTGTGAACCATGCTGGCCCCACCTTCCGTTGAGCAAATGGAGCCATAGTTGAAACAAATTCCTTCCTTCGAGCGAACATCAGAACGAAGTTAGTGAAGGTTTGTTGGAACTCCAGCCCATCTTCCACAGGTGTCAGTAGAGCCAGCCTAATTCCTTCGATACGTCTATTAGCTATCGCTGGGGCTTGTTCATTTATCTGAATCTTCTTGGGTAAGAAAGATTCGAAAGTGGCGTTGAGCCACAGTTGAAGTAGCCAGAAAGGCCCAGCGAGTAGCAAACTGTTCCTATCTTCGACATGTTTCAAGAGAGTAACCCCATTGCTGATTGAGTCATAAAGACTGGCCAGAATTAGTTCTGCCAAACAGATGTTTTGGCGGTGATGCAGTTGGGTGGCAAGAGTGACCATCTTTTTGGTCACTTGTAGAGATTTCGAGCAAAACACAAAGCGAGTTAGCCATAAGGCTAGAAACGCTATGTGTTCGACATCCGACACTATATCCGTCGACCTGTCGTGATAATGATTGATAAAGGTGGTATATGTTGGCTTGGTCTCAGAGAAGCCAATTTGGTCCTCCGACATCTCTTCCGGGTCGAAGTAATCTCCGGTTGGTCGAAGGCCAGTGATGGCCGCTACGTCGAAGAGTGTGGGGGTTAACATCCCACATGGAAGGTGAAAGGTGAAGTGAGAGTAATCCCAGAACAACAGCGAAGCTATAAGCATCTCTGGGGAGTAGTTTAAGCCTGTCTTCGACAGCATTACTAGGTCAAAGATTCCCATTTCCTTCCAGACTGGAGTTTGATGTTTCTCCAACTTTGTTAGCCAAGCAACATAGTCAGAGGTCAGATTAGGGCAAGACCTGAAGACCCTAACACTTCTGTTGAAGAAACGGAGGTCGATCTTCTCGTGTGTAGGGTCTTCGTTGTCTTCTGCATCCTTCTTGGCGCAGGCTACTGGCTTGAGTTTCTCGACGATGGGGAAATAGCTCTTGATCTTCAGAGCTTCAGAGATGCTTGGGTTCATGGGTCCAGACATTGCGAAGATCTGGTTGGAGTATCCAACCGGGATCATCAAGTGACGCGAATAAGCATCGCGAACGGAGATGTCAGAAGGTTCAGGGACCCTTCGTTTCCCTGTAGAGTTCACTACCGGAGCAGTAACAAAGACCTTGGGCTTAACAAGTTGTTCAGTTGGTGCGTTAGTCTTGGGGGCAGTGGAAGCAGAGGCCATTGTTGAGGATGAAGATGAAGTGAAAAAGGAAGAATTTTTCTGCAAAGAGAGCAAGTTTGTATGAAAGCAAGGGAGTTTGAGGGCTAGTTGGCGTAAAAAGTCCTATAATGGGATATTCATTACTATTTATAGTAGTGGGAGAAATTCCCAATAACGAGGACATTAAATGTCATTTAATGCTGCAGGAATTAGTGGGACGCGTGGCAGCATCCTGTTGTTTTGGCCGTTTCTGCAGAAACAGAGAGACGCAGCGTGCGTCCTCGTTTTTGGGATTTGTCATAATGACAAATTCTGAAGTGATGTTTGGTACTGCACGCCGTACTGAAAGTGACGTCCTAGGATCAATTCAATGATGGTTTCTTGGGATTGCCAATAGTTGGTAAAAAGCAACAAAAAGTGCACAAGTTAACTTGTGACTAAGCGTGGAAAAAACAGGTGTCGAATGGCGTTTTCAAAGAATGCCTTTTTCTTTCAGAGTCGAAATAAGGCATTCTTGGGGGGCAATTTGTTGGCTCCTAAATTCAACACCTTTGTTTTGATTGATGGCAGCCATTAAAAGCTGAAAGATGCTTTCGACTGGCTAAGCCTGTCGAAGTGCCCGTCGAAAGATGGCAAAATACTTAGAAGATTTCTTCCAAGGAAGAAGGCTGATTGCCTTCGACGTTGAAAGAGTAGTCGTCGAAGATGTCTCTTGACGAACGTGTTCGATGGTCCAGAGTGGAGCAGTTTGAAATTCAAAGCTTTGGAGGGAAAACGGTTTCCAGCGGTTACTACGTGCAAACGTGCAAGGATCTGGAGCGTCGAGCATGGAGAACGTGCCAAGTGGCTTAATCTCGAAGCAGTGTAACTGCCCGACGGTTACTTGGAATGTTTTAGTATAAATAGGAGTAGACATGTAGTTTCTCGCGTGTGTTCACAATCATATACATAGTCACTCATTTAGATTCAAGTACCCAGTGTGAGCGAAAGAATTGTTGAGAAATGTATGTGTGAAACACCAATTTTTATCAATTAAAGTCATTTACCTTTCCAGTATTTTACTTGCTTTTCTCCTTTAAATTCCTGTCGAACCTTTACTTTAAAGCCTTGTTTATTTTACCAAGCTTTTCCTTTATGCAATTTACTTGAAACATTTTACTTAAAGCCTTATCCACCTTAATCAAACTTCAAAATCAACCTATGTCCATAGGATCAATCTGATCGATCCTGCGAGTAACCAAATAAGTAACCATTTGGAGGATCAGCGGTTGTTTACCAAAACCCAAGGTAAACACATACTTCTTTATTTTATTAATAAAACATGTTGTCACGTGATTATCACGTCGCAACTGACTTTTTTTAGCCACATGATAATCACATGGCAAAAATACGTGGCCGGGGATGATATTTCTTGTAGTGAATCTTCTTCTTCTTGCCTTTCTAAGTTGGACTTGTGGGTTGTTAAAGTCGGACCCCAAACCTATTCAAGGGTAATGTAAATCTATCATTGCCTTTATTTGGTTTAATGTTTGGACATGACTTGTATAGGTGTTATGGGTCTTAAATGTTAGTTTAAAGCCTATGATATAGAGTGGAAGTCTGAACTCGTGGACTGATATCCCTTTAATTTATACCAGTCCACGGTCTCTAAACACACGGTCTAAACTATTTAAAAATATTATTTTAGTCCATGAGCCTTTCAAATATCAGACCTGAAAATATTATTATCCCAAATGTTTGAGATGTCATCCCAATCCGCATAAAAATGTAATATACATATTATGCAATTTCTATTTGTGGTTAAATCTATAGTTAAGCATAAGAGTAGTTGAAATTTAAGAGATATTATTATCCAAAACGAATGAATAACTTTAAGAAAGTAGTTAAGGTTTTGTACGCCATCTTGGATCATGCAATATATGCTCCTCCCATCATCACCAACTCATCTTATATCTTAATCTCTCTACCTCATTTCTCGTTTCTCTTCCCTAACAAACTTACACATTCTTAATTCATAAACCAAATTTATTATTTATTCTCTCTCTCATTCACCCTCTACACTTCACCTACCATAATAACAGCCTCCTACACTCCAATATATATGCATATAAAAAAGATATTCTTGTGATTATTAGTTGCATCATGCTTATAAGACATTGATATAAGCTACTTTGTTTCTAGCTGATTTTCTGACATAGGATTTTTGTCATATGATCCAAATTTTGTGATGATATGATGATGCAGTTAACTGTTGCTATCTACTACTAAGTTTTTTTGTTTTTTTTTTCTCTTCTATTTTGCTTTTATTTTGCATTGTTGTCATAGAAATTTAAGAAGAAAGAAACTCCTCTAAGGAATCAAAGAAGATATCCTTCTTCTTTATTTTGCATGAATGCATGTGAGTATATTATAAAATGAATATTCTAATAGTACATATAAATATTATCACATGATGTATGATTTTGATATCTAACAAATTTTAGAATGGTACTATTGAAGTGTGACATGAACAATTTCATCATGCAAAACTTTAGTGAGAGATTAAGACCTCTTGTTGGTTTGAATGGTTGGGACTATTGTGTCTATTGGAAACTAAGTGAAGATCAAAGGTTAATTACATACATTACATAACTAATCATTCTATTTTTTTCCTTCTATATATCTTATAATTAAATTTAATTGTGATGTGAATTTGTTGGTTTATATATAGGTTTCTTGAATGGTTGGGATGTTGTTGTGGTGGAAGTGATAGCAATCAAAACGGTGGCGGAGAAGAACATCTTTTTTCTATCTCTTCATGTAGGGATACAATGTTTTCACATCCAAGAACAAAGTCTTGTGATCTTCTTTCACAACTTAACACTTCCATTACTACCGATTCAGGGTATGTCTTTCTTTTTAAGATTTACGGTTTAGGGTATATATATATATATATATATATATATATATATATATATATATATATATATATATATATATATATATATATATATATATATATATATATATATATATATATATATATATTACCTTGAATTAATCTCTACCCTTATTCGAAACTACAATGTTCTTTAATCTCTTCATTGAACAGGATTCATGCACAAACTCTATTAACAAACCAACCTAATTGGTTGAACTATCCTAGCACTTTGGATCCAAACACTTTACAAGTAATTAAGTTCATTAGTTAATTTTGAATTTCATTTTTTAACTTCATCTTTGTTATGCAAAATTATATTTGATATTGAGATTTAATTGTGTAGGAAACAATAAATGGGACACATGTTTTGGTTCCAGTGCCTGGTGGATTAGTTGAGCTCTTTGTAACTAAACAAGTAATGTTTGTCCCCTTATGTGTTGATTTTTCATCCACTCTTTAAAGTGTTTATCAACTTTTATTTTTAGTCTACTTTTGCTACAAACTTGTGTACATTTGAATGATAAATTTATAGACTATTAATTTCACCACTCAACATTAAATTAGACTCTGAAAAAAGGCGTGTTCGGTGTCTAACATCAATTAACATGACACAGACACATGTGATTATTGTGTTCAGTGTCCATGTATGTGCCAATGCTTCAAAGAATTTAATCCAATGTTTTTAATCATAAATGACTTTTAGGTTGGTGAAGATCAGCAGGTGATAGATTTCATCACATCTCAGTGCATTGTCATGGTGGATCAAGAAGGGATGATGAACAACTCAATTGGTTTCAACTCAATGAGCAACATGCAATCAAATCAAGTTATAATTGACGAAATCGATGGAGATAAAACAAACAACCATTTTCATCCATCAGAGCCGTTGAATCTTCCACATGACATGTCTGTAATGAACTTCATGCAACAGTTCAATTACAATTACAATTACAATTACAATCAGCAACAAAGCAGACTCAAAAACGACGAAACAACAGTCTCCGAAGAATACCAAGGCTCGTTCCTTCATGATCACGAAAGCAACCACAATAACAGCATTCTCAAATCCAACACTGAAGAGGAACATGATAACAAAAGCCTAATGACAGATAATAACCAGTACATGTTTGTTGATCCATTAGACTCGAAAAGGAAACACGAACAAGTTGTTGGTAGATCGGATTCGATGTCAGATTGCAGTGATCAGAATGAAGAAGAGGAAGATGGAAAGTTCAGAAGACGAAACGGGAAAGGAAACCAATCAAAGAACCTTGTCGCCGAGAGAAAAAGAAGGAAGAAACTGAATGATAGGTTATATAATCTTCGCTCGTTGGTTCCGAGAATCTCAAAGCTCGATAGAGCTTCGATTCTTGGTGATGCTATTGAGTTTGTGAAGGATTTGCAGAAGCAAGTGAAAGAGCTTCAAGATGAACTTGAGGAAAATTCAGATACAGGAACTGAAAGTAACTGCATTGTTAATGAGGGTGTTCAAGCTCAACTAGAAGATAACAACAATAATGTTCCAAAAGAAGAAGAACATGGTTTTCATGTTGGGAATGGATATGTTTCAAAACAAAAGCAGGAAGATGTTGGTACCGGTACTGACAAACAGACACAACAAATGGAGGTATACCAACACAACACTGACACTTGTGATTACGTATGTCGTGTCTGGTGTCTATGTCAGTTGCTTCATAGATTTATTTTGTTAGTTGTTTGGATTTCTTTTATATATGAGATGACTTATAGTGCAAGAAATGGATATTGCAGCCACAAGTGGAAGTGGCATTGATAGATGGGAATGAGTATTTTCTGAAGGTGTTTTGTGAGCATAGGCCAGGTGGATTTGTGAGATTGATGGAGGCATTCAACACTTTAAGGATGGATGTTGTACATGCCACAGTAACCAGTCACAAGGGTCTTGTTTCAAATGTTTTCAAAGTAGAGGTAAATATAATTTCTCATGAAAACATGAAAACTTTATTAAATCAATGATTAAATAGCATAGTATTTGATTATAATTATGAGCAGAAAAAGGAGAGTGAAATAGTTGAGGCTGAAGATGTGAGAGATTCATTGCTGGAGCTGACAAGGAACAGATCTGCATGTTGGAGTGATGAGATGACAGCAACCTCATCTGAGAATGGTGTCATCAGTAAGGACCAACATGATCAACAGACTGCTGCTGCATATCATTCACACCAGTTTCATAGTTAATCTTTTGATAATTAATCTTAATTTGTCATAATTAAGAAAACCTAGCTTGAATTTAAAATATTCTCTCAAAGTTGGAGGATATATAAACCTAGCTTGTGATTGATTGAGTATAATTTAAGCATCAGGTTTAAAAAGCTCGATTGTAATAGCTTCATGGAATAACCAATATGCAATTAATCATTTTATTTCATCATCTGCTCAAATCATCATAGTTTCAACCTAATAAAAATAAAATCAAAATATGAATAAAAAGAAGAAGAAAAAAAAAAGGAGAAAAGTAAAAGAGTGTGCAGATTAGTGCTTCAATATAATATACTGATAAAACCCTAATGCCTCTATTTATATATGAGCGAGTCCTTAACCCTATATCATAAAATAAACAGCATAATTTATTCAGAATTATTGGATCTGAAAATAAATAAATAAATATTTACAAAATCATGTTTGGAGGAGAATGCATAAATTTTTTTTCAAAAAGAAGAAGAAAAAGGCTATATGATTTGAGCATCAGTTTTAAAAAGCTCGATTATGAAAGCTTCATGGAATAACCAATCAGCAATTATTCACTTCTTTTCATCATCTGCTCAAATCATCAGAGTTTCATGCTACAAAAAATAAAATTAAAATATGAATGAAAAGAAAGAGTGTGCCGATTAGTTCTTCCAAATAATAACCTCATAAAACCCTAATGCCTCTATTTATATATCACCAAGTTCTTAAACCTATCACTTAGAATTTCAAAACAACCAAATTAATATTAACGTCAACATAGGAATGCCGTTTAGGGGATTGAGATAAACTAAAACAACAAATTAGATCTTAAAACTAAAATATATAAGGTGCAAATAGTTTAAATTTTTTTTTTATATAGCTAGTTTTTGGTTTATATATATATATATATATATATATATATATATATATATATATATATATATATATATATATATATATATATATATATATATATATATACACGAAAACTAAAAACTTGCTAACTCAATTTAATTATTTAAATTAATATATAAATATATATTGTGAGAGTATGAAACGAGGTGAGTACTAAATTGTTCAGACGCTGTTTACGCGTGAATTTGCTAAACAATCGCTAGTCTTCTAAATTAAATATTTTCGTAACTTGTAGGATAGACTAGATTGATCATAGGACATGTGTCTAAATTTCTAAGATTAAACTTGTAATGGAATTCATGTTTAACATTATTTTGTTAATAACAATATAATATAAAGATTAGAATTATAATTTAAAGTAAGTTCGAATAAAAGGGTTTCAAATGAGTAATGTAAAGGTTTCGACCGGAAACGTAAAGAAATGTAAAGAAAATGCAGAATAAATGTAAATGACTTGAAAAAGTAAAAGTTTAGACTAAAAAGTAAAGGAAATACTGGAAATGTTAAAAGACTTGATATTGATAAAGTAAAATGATTCGAAAAGAACAATAATGATGTCTATACGTATATTTTATGCAACTCTTTTCTCTAACACTTGGTACTTCGAATATATTGAGTAATTTGTACAAAATGAACACCTCTCGAATCCTAACATCAAGATCCCTATTTATACTAATTTGACCCTAACGATCTTTCTATAATAGAGTGCCACGTTCGAAGATTGCATATCCTTCGAACCCATCAGACTTCCACGCGTCTTTTATGACTCAAACATTCGATTTCAAATTCAAATTCCTCTCTTCTATTAGTGCCAAGTTTTCGACGTATATATCCAAAAACTTTCGATTTCAAAATATACTTAACGAATATTTATTATATTCGTTTTGTCTGTCCATCGAACCATTTCAAATGCTTGGGCTTTTACTCAATTCAATCCAAACGAAGCCCAAACACCAAAAACAATATTAATGCGTTCAAACAACCGCTGTAATCGAAATTCCAAGCTAACAAATTGCCCCTCAAAAATGTGTATTTCGTTATGTAGAGAAATAGTCATTTTTGAATAATAATTTTAAATTTCGATAAACCATATACTCATGATAACCTTTTACTGTTGTGACGTCATGAAAAGTAATCACCTTTCTCCAAACGTTTATTCAAACATACACATAGCAGTTCATCATTACCACTTATAAAAATAGTTCCCAAGAAAAAATCTTAACCTCTTCCTCTTCTTATAACAGAAGCACACGTGTCCCACTAACTTGCTATAATGTAAACTTCTCAACCACTATAAGTGTTTTATAAAAACTTCATCTTCACACTTCTGTTTCTGCATCTATCGAAGGATCTTTAAGATAATTTATGATTGGGCTACGCCAATCTGTATCTGTTAGAGTATTAATAGCTAATACTTCGAATTCTTCTTCGTTAGCATATCCTAATTTTGAACTCTCCAAATCAGATGGGGATAACCTGTCAGCCATTTCTTTTCCTCTTATTTCGATAAGATCTTCTAAACTTTATGTTGATACTTTATATCCTGAAGCTATCTGTGTCAAGTCATTTGCTTCCTGATTTTTAACCATGGGAATGTGTTTAATATCCATGTACTCGAATCTTTTGAGGAATCTATTGGAAATAACAAAGTATATTATGAAATTTTCTTTTATGCATTTGCATTTCTTTGTTATTTGGTTGATCACTAATTCAGAGTCTCCTTTGATTTCAACTCTTGTTGCCCCCAATTCCAACAAGGCTTCGAGTCCAGCAATTAACGCTTCATATTCTGCCTCATTGTTCGAACAAAGAGGGCCTTCGATCTTATACTTGAGTCTTATTGGAATCCCTTCAAGAGAAATGATCAAGACTCCAACTCCACTACCTTCTTTATGGGTAGAACCATCGAAAAATAGTATTCAAGGTTTCAACTCAACACAGTGTTGATGGTTTTTTACCACTGCATGGTCCACAATAAAATCTGAGGCCACTTGATCCTTCATTGCTTTTAAAGGCAAGAAAGCCAAGGAATACTCAGTAATGGCTAAATCCCATTTGGCAATTCGACTGTGCAGGATTGGCTTTGATAACATGTGTTTAATAACATCAAAGTGTGATGAAACATAAACATCAACAAGTTTTATATAGTATTTTAATTTGGTACAAGAGAAATATAAACAAAGGCATAATTTTTCTATTTCATTGTATAGTCTCATCATCATTTAGCACCCTACTTAAGTAATAAATGGCTCTTTCGGCACCATTATCATCTTCTTGGGCTAACATGCTTCCTATAGTTAGTTCTGAGGCTGATATATATAGCCTCATGTTCTTCTTTCCACGAGGAGGTGTGAGGATAGGAGGATGCATCAAATATTTCTTGATATTATCAAACTCCCGTTGATGTTCTTCTTTCCATTCGAAGTTGCCTTGTTTGAGGCGTAAGAGAGGGGAGAAGGCTTGAGTTCTACCACTCAGATTAGAAATAAATCTTCTTAAGAAGTTTATTTTTCCTAGAAGTGATTGCAACTCCTTTTTCGATGATGGCGCTTTCGCTTCCATAATTTCCTTCGTTTTATTCTGGTTTATCTCTATCCCTTTCTTTTGGACTACAAATCTCAGGAAATCACCTGCCTGCATAAAGAAAGCACACTTGAGGGGGTTCATCTTCAAACCATGTTTCCTCATTCTTTCGAATGACTGTCGAAGATGATCCAAATGGAACTCATGGGACACAGATTTGATGACAATGTCATCAATATAAACCTGCATAAAGGTCTCTATGAAATCATGAAAGATGGAATTCATTGCCTTTTGGTAAGTTTCCCCAGCGTTTTTTAGTCCAAAAGGAATCACTATCCATTCATAGGTGCCTAATGCCCCAGGGCATCAAAAGGCTGTTTTGGGCACATCTTCATTAGTAATGAAATTTGGTTATATCCTGAATATCTGTCAAGCATACTCAAGTATTCAAAATCTGCTGCAGAATCAATTAACATCTCTGCTATAGCCATTGGATATTCATCCTTAGGGTTGCAGCATTTAAATCATTAAAGTCTATGCAACCCCTAAGGGATCCATTCTTTTTAATAACAGGAACAATATTTGCAATCCATTCTACATACCCGGTTGCTCTGATGAAGTTGCATCGAAGGAGTCTTTCGACTTCCTCCTTTACTTTTGATAGCATCTCTGGTGCGAACCTTCTGGGAGTCTTTTTGATGGGCTTCTTTCCATCCTTTATTGGCAGCTTCAGTTTGACCAGATCTTTTCTTAACCTAGGAATTTTATCATAGTCCCAAGAAAAACAGTCTTTATATTCTTTCAACGTCTGGATTTCTTTGTTCTTTACCTCCGGATCAAGCTTTGCGCTGATATAAATGGGTTTTTTTTCCAGTTCCTTCTCCTAAATTAACTTCTTCAAGGGGATCTTGTGCCAACATTTTTGCGCTTGGGGCCACTGGATCCCTTTCAAAACCCAAAGGTCCATCATCATAGATAGCATTGAGCCTTTGGTTGTTGTTTTCTATGGGCATCTATTCATCAGGGGGATTTGGAATAAAATGCACTCCAGGCCATTCTGTATGTGTTAATTCTTCTTTAGCTTGGATAGCCATGTATTTTGCTTCGGCTTCCAAAGCCGTTTTTATTTTATTTTTGGCCATGTAGTTCGAAATATTTTCGAATAAGGATGACTCAAACATCATTATTGTCTTCATCAAACCAACCTATTGGCCATACTTCAGGTAACCCTTCGATGCCATCCTCTTCGCCCATTAATTCCCTGTCCCATTGAAACTCGTGGGTTGGGTGTAAGGTTAGGTAGTACAAAGCATTTTTGTTAGGGAAATATGCTCCTTCTGTTGGACTGCATGGTCCTATATTTGCCAGATTTCTGTCAAAGTTCCTTCTATCCACCTGGTTGACTTCATCCAAGAAATAACTTTGGTTAGCCTCTATGTTTTCCATGATAACATCTTCTCTCCAAATAGACACACGTTGGTGCATTGATGAAGGGGCTGCACCAATACCGTGGATCCATTCACGAACCAATAGTAGATTGTAGTTGGCTTTGGTTGCAAAAACCATGAATG